TTTATTTATTTATTTATTATTTATTTTTATAAATTAATTTTTATTGGTGTTCAATTTACCAACATACAGAATAACACCCAGTGCTCATCCCGTCAAGTGTCCCCCTCCGTGCCCGTCACCCATTCACCCCCACCCCCCCCTCCTCCCCTTCCACCACCCCTAGTTCATTTCCCAGAGTTAGAAGTCTTTATGTTCTGTGTCCCTAAATTCAATTTGCCAACATATAGTATAAAGTGCTCATCTCATCAAAGTGCCCTCCTTAGTTCTTCTCACCCATTTACCCCATTCCCCCACCCACCTCGTCTTCTGCAACCCTTTGTTTCCCAGAGTTAATAGTCTCTCATGATTTATCTTCCTCTCTAATTTTTCCCCACTCAATTTCCTTCTCTTCCCTTATAGTCCCTTTCACTATTTCTATATTCCACATATGAGTAAAACCACAGGATAACTGTCTTTCTCCGATTGACTTATTTCACTCAGCAAAATACCCTCCAGTTCCATCCCCCATCTCCATGTGTATGGTAGATATTCATCCTTTCTGTTGGCTGAGTAATAAAGAACTTTTAATCTGGCCAGTTTCTTTCCTTTTTTTGGTTTTGGAATCTTCTTGTTTTTAAGTCCTTTTATTTCTCTTTATCTTTGATTAAGTGAAATTTTAATGCATGCGGTGTGATATAATTTTATAGTATAGGCTAGTAACTATTTCAAGTACATTTTAATGCAAATATAATTATTTTTATAATTAGAAAATTCTCATCAATAATATCTTTTTTTAAAATTTTATTTATTTATTCATGAGAGACACAGAAAGAGAGGCAGAGACACAGGCAGAGGGAGAAGCAGGCTCCATGCAGGGAGCCTGATGTGGGACTCGATCCCGGGTCTCCAGGATTAGGCCCTGGGCTGAAGGCGGCTCTAAACCGCTGAGCTACATGGGCTGCCCCCATATCTTTAATATAGCTCCTTCACCCTATTTTCCAATTTCTTCTTTTAAAAATTCCTCAAAAACTACTTATTTTTCACTTATGCTCAAATGATGTAAATATTCAACAACCTTTCATTGTTTTACTCTTTTTTTACTATATTTTTAGTGAATTATTCAGTATTATTTGGAAATTTTTTGTAGCTATTTCTTAGGTTCCCACTTTATTGTATTTGTATTCAACAATTGTAAAGTTTGACTACAATAATTCTTACATGATTTTATATTTTTTAGTTGGTTGTTTCTTTTTACTCAGTTATTATAGTATCTGTTTAAAATTTTTAATCTTTTGTTTTTGAAGGTGATAGATATAAACATTTGAATAGTTCTTCATTTTCCTTTTAGTTTATTTCACTCAGAAAAGTGTTTTTTGTATATTTATTATGTTGTACTGGGCACAATAGTTCTGCCCTTTTTAAAAATTTATTTATTTATTTGAGAAAGAGAGAGAGTGGGGGGAGGTTTAGAGGGAGAGAATCTTCAAGCAGACCCATTGCTAAGCACAGAGCAGGAGTCAGACACTTAGCCCACTGAGCCACCCAGGCTCCCCAAGTTCTTACCTTTTTAATCACTGAGTAATATTCCCTTGGGTAAATATACCCTGATGTGTTTATCCATTGTCCAGTGAGAGTGTATTTGGATTGTTTCCCCTTTGGCAGTACTGGGAATAAAGTTGCCATGAACATTTAAATGCTGGCTTTTTCTGTGGATAAATGCTTCCATTTCTCTCGGTGTAATGACCAGAAGGAGAATTTTTAGGCCACCGGATAGATGTGACCAAATGTATATTTAACATTATAACATTTTTTACCCTCACCATCAACTTAAGAAGTTCCTGGTTGCTCTCTATTTATAATGTCACTACATCATACTATCAATCTAGTGAGGCAGGGAAAGGCATTGCATTAGGAGTTAATATTTATTTGCCTTATGATTAAAGTTTCTAGGCATGTTTTACTGTTTATTGGATATTACACTTCTTTCTTTGTGAGTATATATGCAAATTTTTACCCACTGTTTTATGTTTTTTTAAATTTCTTGATAATTAAATCATAGAAGATCCTTATGTAGTCCAGTTATATATATTGTAAATATGTTTTCCCTGTCTGTGGTTCCCTTTAAATTTTTTGATAATTTTTAATAGGATAAAAGTGTTTAAGAAATCTTTTCCTTTTTCAACATCTCAAATATATTATCTTATTATTTCTTCTAGAGCACTTATCATTTGAATTTCAATAATTAGATTAAGAGCGTGGATTTATCTCAAAAAATGTTCAGATTCTGCCTATAATTTGAAGTCAGAAGAAATACAGTTGACCAATAGCTTTGATGTGGATTGCTAGAAAAAGAGAGGTCAAGGAAGAGTCCATGCTGTATTTTTCTTAGGACACTAGAAATTGAATAGTGATGGTCAGTAATGAAGATATGTTATGTGTTTGTGTACAGGAGTGTTATGTGCATTTAGGAACTTTGGCAATAATAGGCTTTTATTTATACGTGAAGTTAAAAAGTGACTGGAAAAATATCAAGTGGAAAAATGATTAAACAGGAAATATTCAATTTTATTTTGTTTTAAATCTTCTTTCTTTTTTTCCTTTCTTTACTCTTAATGGTCTTTTATGATAACATTTTATGATAACAAAAATTATATATGTTCAACATTAAACATTTTATACAATTAAAAAATTTCCATAAAAATAAATCTCACAGTCTAGGGATAAATCATTTAAAATCTGGTCAATTTGTGAAATTCAATTTTCTAAATGTTTTACATACTACATATAATTTTATGGCTCGCAATTTTTTTCACTTGACACTAAATCATGAAGAGAGTCCAATGAAAGAAAGTAAGCTATCTGAAAATAAATCATTAAAGATTATATATATTAATCACGTTTAGCATAGCTATAAACAAAAGGAAAGAAGAAAGAAAAAGAAAGAAGAAAGAAAGAAAGAAAGAAAGAAAGAAAGAAAGAAAGAAAGAAAGAAATCAAACAGTAGAATCACACTAGCTGGCTTGGGATCCAGTTCATACTAGCTGTGTGACCTTGGGCAATGTATTTCGTGTCTGCATGTCTCACTTTCCTCACCTGTTAGAGTATAAAAATAACACCTGAGCCATTGGATTGCTGTGATAATGAAACCAAATAATATATGTAAAGTATTCAAAACTGCCTGGTACACAGTGAGAGCTATAGAAGCATTAGCTATTGTATGATTCTGAATAATTTATTTGTTTCTTTATTATTAGTTCAACATTTAAGATCATACTATTTCAAATACTACTGTTTCGATACCCATACTTAAATTTGTGGATACCTCCCCTTTGTCTTCAAAATGCATCATTGTACTTTGAGGTTATTAGAGTGTCTACTTCAGTTTGAACTAAAAGTACAGTAGGAAAATTTTTCCAATTGAATTTGGGAATAATGTGAATGCAATAATGTTCTGTCCGGTACAAAAAAATCAAGACTTTCAGGCAATGAAAAGAATAATCACTTACCATATACTAGTCCTGCTGTGTGTCAAGTGCAGTGTTGACATTTTGGTCATATTATCTCTTTTCCTCCTAACATATATAATTTACCTCTATCTTATACATGAGAAAGCCCTTAGTGTCACAGAGCTAGTTATTCTAATTAAATATCAAATTATTTACCTTACAAAATAAATGGTGCATGATCTGATGTAGGGTCACTACCAGTTTTGGTTCCTACTCCAATCTCTGTTTTAACTAACTGCTCTACTTTACATATGAATCTGCAAAAATAAGATTTTAGCAAATCTTCCTGGACACCCTCATGTTTTCTCTTCTTGAAATACTTTTGTGTACTACACTAGGAAAGTAGTCATTGGAACTGCATGCTAATTATTACCTTATACCTGAACATGTATTATCTGCCTGAATAGAAATAATTCCTTCCTATTCAGAGACTCAGCAGTATTTTGTAGATCTATATTTTCACCCCAAATATATTTCATTGCAGAGATTCTATGGTTTCTATGCAAACACACAAGCTACTTTTGTAGGCAAATTACTTATATAGCCAAAGTGTACGAATAATATAATAAACAAGAAATTGTTCTGAAAAGGAGAGAGAGAGATGTTTGATATGACCAAAGCGTATCCCTCATTGGCTTCTGAATGAACAGTGCTTCCACAAACCATCTACAGAATACTTTTAGTGAGATTGTTATGTATCTGGTTTAAAGATATTGAATTTCTAGTATCTCTAAAAATTCATTTTACTTCTGTTCAGTGCCCTGGCCTCCTGCCATTACTTACACTTCTCTGTTCTAATTTCTTCTGATGTTGTTCTTTGACCAATTTTTTTTTTCATGTGCTGGCCCCTGACCTGCTACACACTGGTTCTGTGGCATGCTCATCACATTGGGGACTTAACTCCTTTCCTTCATTAACTAAAGTAATCCACTAATTCAATTAATAAAACCATTAAGTAAAAATGTGTTTATACTTTGAGAGTAAATGAAATGGAGTACTAAAGTGAGAAGACAGGGGTCTGGGGGCAAAAGCTATAGTAGGACACAGCAAAGCAATCCAACAGAGAATTGGAGGAGAGAGGAAAAGAAAGAAAATGAATAACAGAAAAAAAGGAGGAGGAAGAAGAGGAAGAGAAAGAAAAAGAAAAGGAGAGAGAGACAGAGAAGGAAGAGGGAATACCTGGCACTCATAGTGGAATTGGAAAAATGTCTTCTTTTTTTTTTTTTTAAAAATGTCTTCTGTAACTCACCCCTCAGATCTCTGGGAACCATGAACATATTTATGTTCATCTTCATAAAAATAATATGGAACAGTTGTTCATGCACCTTGATATTTAGAGTTCATAGCTTCTGTTCTCACTGCCTGAATGGCTGATGCACAAAAAATGACACCCTTCCAAGTAAGTGATGATGGCCTTACCTCATTTTCCCTTTCTAAGGCCTCTTCTCATTCCTCAGATGCATACATGTTAACATTTAATTCCCTGGCTAAAAACTGGATATGTTCAGCCATTATTTACTTCTGGCTAAATATTCTGAGCACCCTTTCATGAATCTGCTTGGTTCTGACTCCATAGATGACAGGGTTGAGCATTGGTGGAATCACTACATACAGATTGGCCAGAAGGATATGGATGTAGTGGGGAACATTTTGGCCAAAACGATGTGTCAAAAAAGAGAAGAGGGCTGGGGTGTAAAAAGCCAAAATTACACAGACATGGGAGCCACAGGTGCTGAGAGACTTGAGCCTGGCCTCATGGGAGGGGAAATGGAAAACGGCACAGAGAATTTGGACATAGGACAGAGAAATGGCCATGATGTCAAGCCCCAGGATTGCTATGGTCCCCAGACCATATATAATATTGATTCTGATACTTGCACAGGCCAGACGGGCAAGACCCATATGCTCACAGTATGTGTGGGAGATGACATGATGTTCACAAAAGGGCAGTCTCAAGATGAGGAATACAAAGGGGAGTACAATGAAAAAAGATCTCCCAACCACCCCAAAACCAATAAGAGATACTACTTTGTTAGTAAGGATTGTGTTATAACGAAGAGGGTTACAGATAGCTACATAACGGTCATAAGCCATGGCAAGAAGGACTCCTGATTCCATGCCAGTAAAAATGTGAATGAAAAACATCTGAGTAAGGCAGTCATCAAAAGTGATCTCCCTGAGGCCGAACCAGAATATGCCCAGCATCTTAGGGATAGTGGTTGTGGACAGTCCCAGGTCAATGGTAGCCAGTATTGCTAGAAAGTAAAACATGGGCTGGTGGAGGCTGTGCTCAGTCTGGATGATGAACAAGATGGTGAAGTTTCCTATGAGAGCAATCAGATACATGGCACAAAAGGGAAAGCCAATCCAGATGTGGACTGTTTCTAGTCCTGGGATTCCCACCAGCAAGAAGGAGGAGGGGTGGAGCTGAGTTTGATTGGAAAGAGACATCTTGCTTTTGATTTCATATGAATGTGTCATTGCAGATGTGTGCTGATCCATACTGGAAGGTACCAGTCAGTTATGATGATGTTTATGTTACTGCAAAAAAACAAAAACCAAAACAAAAGTGGATATCTTATCTGTTTATCCCATTATCAAAAATCTCATCAATAGTCTTGCTGCAAGAATAACAAAACCTCTATCCTAAAACTTTTTTTATCTTAAAATGTTTATAACTAGAATTTAGTTACTGAAAGCTGGATCAATTTTATTACTCAAAATATTTGTTTCATAAGGCATTTCACTTATTCTATTCAAGATCTTGTTTTATGGTATATGTTTATATATCTACTTATTTACATATATATGCATACATATACACACATACAATGAGGAAATTAGTGAATTAATGAATGAATAAAGATAATACACACATATACATATGAATGCATATATGTAAACATACATACTCACTACCCTCCATATCAGTTTATTTCTGTCCCTTTTTCACATAGCTGTGATGTAAACCAGGATCAAGATTTCTTAGTTGCTTACTAACCTCTTTGAGTTTGTCCCATATGTATTAATGACACTTAATGGTTGCTTGTGGATTAAATATCCTAACCAAAAACACACGTAACATTCACACACACATAAACACACAAAACTGTTTCTCCTTTGTGGTTGTATTTAAATTTCCAAAAGAGCTCTAGAGATTACTGAAAACAACATGCTAGGAGGAAATGTTTAAATTCATCATCTTTGAATGATGATCCTCAGAGGTTTTAACATACTGATATCCAAAGTGGGTTACATGCAAACTACGATGGTACATAGAATGTTAATAACGTATTATTTACCTCATTCATGAATGTTAGTGACCAACTAGTGCTTAAAAAGACTTACCAACTGGGCCACCTAGGTGACCCGATATCTTTTCAAGATTTTATTTATTTATTTGAGAGAGAAAGAGAGAGAGCGCACAAGCAGTGGGGAGAGGGAGAAGCATGCTCCCTGCTGAGCAGGGAACTCATTACGGGACTAGATCCCAGGACCATGAGATCATGGCCTGAGCCAAAGACAGACATCCAACTGACTGAGCCACCCAGGTGCTCTAAGTGTTCCACTCTTGATTTCAGCTCAGGTCATGATCTCAGGGTCAAGAAATCATGCCCCATGTCAGGCTGCACTGGGCTTGGATTTTTTCCTTCTCCCTCTATCCTTCCCACCACTGCTTGTACTCTCCATCTCTCTCTCTCAAAAACAAACAAACAAACAAACAAAAACAAAACATCAATCAACCTAAGTACTAAGGAGGATACCACATGGAGAAAATATAAATTACACTGGACTATGAGGAACAGTCTATATCTCATAATGACCAATCTATTTGGAACTAGTAAAATGTTGTAAATCTCGAGGGAGTCTTTCTGGTACTCCCACTATTATAGTGGAAAGCAGATAAAGCAAATATTCTCTCATCCAGTATTTGGTGATTTATAATTCTGTTATGTTAAAGGCAAAGTAAAAGTGACAGAATTTGTTGAAATGGATAAATGGCTTTACTTAAGCCAAAAATACCCAGCCAAATAGAGGAGAGTGCCCATATCAATGGAAAGGTCTTATTTAAATGCTTAAGTGCAGGGATGCCTGGGTGGTGCAGTTAGTTAAGCATCCAACTCTTGGTTTCAGCTTAGGCCCTAATGTCAGAATTGTTTTTTTATTTTTTTAAGATTTTATTTATTTACTCATGAGACACAGAGAGAGACAGACAGAGATATAGGCAGAGGGAGAAGCAGGTTCCATGCAGGGAGCCCAATGTGGAACTCCATCCTGGATCCCTGGGATAATGCCCTGAGCCAAAGGCAGATGCTCAACCACTGAGCCACCCAGGTGTCCCAACTGATGTCAGAGTTGTGAGATTGAGCTCCACATTGGGGTCCATGGTCAGGGCAGAGTCTACTTGATATTCTCTCCCCCTCTGCCCTTCCCGCTCGTGCTCTCTCTCTCTCTCAAATAAATAAATCTTTAAATAAATAAATAAGTGCTTAAGTGCAAAAGCCTTGGGTAGTCTGAGAAATGTTTTAATCCAGAAATACAGTGAGAAAGGGGAAGGGAGGAAAATACTAGAAAGTAGGTATTATATAGTGGTTTCACTATATATAAAGTGGTTTCAGTTGAGCCTCTTCATTTTAACACATTTTTGAGCATGTCCCATGGCTTCAGAATGTGTCCTTCCTGTCAAGAACATGGAGTGTTAAGACAGGAGGCTAGGGCTAGGGTGATAAATATCACTACAATGGCATTTATATTACAATATATAACTGTTAGTAAAGTAAAAGTTGTACACCTTAAATTTATTTACACACTGTTGATATCAAACTTATTCAATAAAAAAAGATGGGTTGCTAGAGAACTAAGAGATAATCATTTTTGGGCAACAAAAAGTTACAGATGTGACAACAAAATATTTTTGTCAGATAAGTCTTTGGTTAAATCTCAAATATCATCTTTATTTAACTTAATAAATGTGTATACAAGGTTGTAAGATGTGAACAATGAGCTATTCTTATGTTTCTCTATACATACATAAAAGTTGTGGTGACAGTTTGCTTACATTTTGCATATGGTAAAATCAATACAAGTAGTGGTTACAAAAATTATTGTGAAGGGATTGGTTTTTCTCCTGGCTGTTAAGGAAAATCTAACTTATTCTAATAATAATAAATATATTTGTAAAAATTGATCTTCCATCTCTCATAGGTATATTCTAGGGTGGCTGACAATAACGTTTTAAAAACTAAGAGAAAAGCAATACAAAAAGCCTCAGATGTTGATTAAGGTAGTCAGAAAAAGAGAAGAAATAAAATTTCCTGAGAATTCAGAGTGAGGAAGAAATACTGATAGGATAATCTCTCCTTTATGTACCTATTTTCTTTGGAATTATCATTTTACAAAATTATGTGAAATTATATTTACCTGTTGTGTTAGTCTAATGTATAGGCAGCCCTTAAATGTTAAAGACCCTCTCTTACTTATATCTGTATATATAAAACCTAGTATTGAGCCTGGCATAAGAGAATGTTAAGAGAATATTAAATATATATTTTAAGGGAGCTCTTTAAATTGAAGTATAATAAACATGCAGTGTTATATTAGCTTCATGTGTACAATACAGTGATTCAACAATTCTATACATTACTTAGTGCTCATCACAGCAATTTCACCCCTCCCTCTATTTCACCCATTTATCCCTCTCATCTTCCCTTTGGCAACCACCAGTTTGTTTGCTGTATTTAAGTCTCTTTGTCTTGTCCTCTTTTTGTTATTTTGTTTCTTAAATTCCACATCTGAGTGAGATCATATGGTATTTGCCTTTCTCAGTCTTCTTTCTTTCACTAAGCATTATATTCTCTAGCTCCATCCATGTCATTGTATATGGCAAAGATCTAATTTTTTTCTTGTCTGAGTAATATTCCATATGTAATATATATATACATATATACAGATATAGTGTGTGTATGTATGTGTGTATATATATATATATATATATATATATATTATACACCCACTCACCACATCTTTTTATTCATTCATCTATTGCAGGACACTTGGGTTGCTTCCCTATCTTGGCTATTATAAATAATGCTGCAATAAACATAGAGTACATATATCTTGTCAAATTAGTGTTTTTACTTTCTTTGGGTAAATATCCAGTGTGGAATTATTGGATCATATAGTAATACTATTTTTTTGAGGAACCTCTGTACTATTTTTCACAGTGGCTCCATCAACTTGTGTTCCCACCAGTAGGGCATGAAGGTTCTTTCTTCCTCACATACTTGCTGACACTTGTTATTTCCTGTCTTTTTGATTTGAGCTATACTGAAAAGTATAAGATGCTATCTCATTGTGATTTTGTTTGCATTTCCCTGATGATGTTGAGAGTCTATGAGCCATTTGTATGTCTTCTTTGGGAAAATGTTTATTCAGATCCTCAGGCCATTTTCAATTGGATTTTTTTTTTTTTTTTTTTTTTTTTTTTTTTTTTGCTGCTGAGTTGTATAAGTTCTTTATATATTTTGGATATTAACCCCTTCTCAGATACACCATTTGCAAATATCTTTTTCCATTACACAGTGAAAGAAACCATCAATGAAACAGCAAAGCAACCTACTGAATTGGAAAAGATATGTGGTATTCTTTTTTTAGTAGTGAACTTAAAGCTGTAAAGAGACATCTTTGTATTCTGTTATTTAAATAGGTAATAAAATGTAAGTACTCTGTAAGATTTCTTTCATAAAAATATAATGAAATATAGCTTAAATCATATAGGATATTTCCTAAAAAGAGTCTTAAGTCTTGAGTGATGGAGATATTCAGTGAAGTGAACCCAAGAGTTTCTGTCTATCATAGGAAGTTTAGCTTCTAAAGTAGGGAAATCTTTGTGGTTGCATAAAATGGTCACTGTTGCTTAAGGGAACAAACTTACAAGGAGCAGTAATTAAGCCCTAAAGATCTAATGCAGTGTAGTGAATATAGACAACAATACTGTATAAATGTCATCAAATTTGCTAAGAGACTAGGACTTCATTGTTTCAACCAGTAAAAAAGGATAATTATGTAATATGATAAACGTGTTAATTATCTCCATAATGACAATCATATGACACTATATAAATGTGAAAAATTAACATGTTGTATACCTAAATCTATATGATGCTACATATAAGATATATTCTAATTTTAAAAAATGGTCTATCTTTCTGACACAAAATGTATGCCCATCAAAGGAACTGCAACCTAAAAATCTTGAACCCTAGGAGATGGTGCCATATGCCAATGTTATACAAGGAAATACATTAACAAAACCTTGTGACTTCTACAGATATGCCATGTTCTTTTCCTAGTGTCCACACGTGCTACGAACTGTTTATACAACACATACTCTTACTGAGCATGAGGTCAAGTCTTAATCTGCACTGCACAAAGCAGTGCTCAGAAACACAGTGGAC